AACTTTGTCAGTGAATGACCAGGCTTAAAGTGAGCCAGTGAAGCTGAGGGAGTTGACAGAGCCACCTGTCTGAGAGCTGGCAAGAAAGTCCCAGAGCTGATTAATCTCTCTAATCCTCTGATAGTGTAAGGTCCAGTGAACCTGTCGATGTTCCCCTCCCTTGAGTGTCAGATGAGGCTTTGATCTGTAGTGTGGTCTGTTGCTGGGTGCAGGTTATAATCTGGGGCTGGGAGAACAGTGTCTCTTATGGACTGGACCAACAGGAAATGTCTAATAAGGAAATCTTTTCATGATGTACTGATGGCCGTACAGTATTGCTCCAAGTTTGCCAAAGAGCAGGCAGCTGGAATGTTTCAGCTATCAGAGGATTAGGTTGGATTAGAAACTGACACTCAGTGACTGTGATGAACAGTATTGACGATTGATGAGTCTGTGCCCTGGTGGTGTGCTTTTCGAAAGTTAGTTCTAGTTGGATTCTTGAATAACGCGGATATTTACTTCTGCAATTACTTGACGCATCCCAAGTGATCCTTCAGGCAATGATGCTGGGTTTGATCAACAAGCACCGACAACACATTGTTCACACTCAACTTGGCTGTGTATGGGACCCCGTACCCCAGTGAGAGTCAGTGTGTGTGTGGGAGCTGCAACCCAGTGAGAGTCGGTGTGTGTTTGTGGGACCCTGTGCCCCAGTGAGAGTCCGTGTGTGTGTGAGACCGTACCCCAGTGAGAGAGCGTGTCTGGGGACGGACCTGTCTGTGTGTGTGTCTGACCTGTACCTCTCCATATGTGTGTGTGTATGTGTGTGTTTGTGCACATTGTACCCTTGTGTGCATGTGTGAGTGGACCTATCCCTGTGTGTGTATGTGTGGACTTGTACCCCTGTATATGTGTGTGTGTGTGTATATATACATATATATATATATAATATGTGGATTTGTACTCCTGTGTAGATGTACGTGCATGTGTACCACAGGGTGTGTGTGTGTGTGGGACAGTGCCAAAGTGTGACCATGGACCTTTGCCCCCATGTGTGTGTGTATGAATGTGTGGACCTGTACCCCTCTGTGTGTGTGTGTG